AGGGGCTGGGCTCAGGAGGGTGGGCTCCCCCTCTGACAGCCTTCCAGCTCCCCTGAAACCACCTGCTCTCCTCTCACAGGTAAAGTTCCACTTGGGCTCAAGACAGGGACACATCTCAGGAGCACAGAGGCCCTGGGCAGCCTGACCTCAGCCTCTCCAGATATCAGAAGAGCCTCACCCACATGCAAATCCCTCCTCCTGCCCTGGGTTCAAAGGCCCTCTGGGCTGTGGGAGCTCCCAGCTCTCTGCTCAGACAGGGCTGAGGACTCTGGGAAGGCAGGTGTGGTCTAGAAGATGAGGCTGCTGGGTCTTGTCCTGTGTCTGATGACAGCTCCCCAAGGTGAGTGTCCCCAGTGTCAGACCTGGGACCATGGGGAGGTTGTAGCTGCAGGTGACTGACAGGGTGTGATTGTCCTTGTCCCCAGGTGTTCTGTGCCAGGTGCAGTTGCAGGAGTCGGGACCTGGCCTGGTGAAGCCCTCGCAGACCCTGTCCCTCACCTGTGCTGTCTCTGGTTACTCCATCACAACCAGTGGTTACTGGTGGAACTGGATCTGTCAGCTCCCAGTGAAGGGGCTGGAGTACATAGGGTACATCTATAGTAATGGTAACACTTATTACAGCCCATCCCTCAAGAGCTGAGTGTCCATCACCAGAGACACGTCCAAGACCCAGTTCTCCCTGCAGCTGAGCTCCCTGACCACTGAGGACACGGCCACCTATTACTGTGCCAGACCCAGAGTGAGGGGACCTCAGTGTGAGCCCAGACACAAACCTCCTGCAGGGTGCCCAGGGCCATCAGGGGGCGCTCAGCACACAGGAGTCAGGTCAGCAAGGAGCAGGTGCTGAGGAGGTTTGGGGTGGTTTTCTGAGTCTGGATCCTCTCATGTGCTCACTTCCCAGGGGAGCCTCTGTATTTGTGGCCTACATTAACTTTGATGACTTTGAAAATGATTATTTTTCACTCTATTTTTCCTTTCAAAATAGAACGTCATAGATATCTTGTTATTCACTGTGACCTGGTCATGCACAGTCATTGACTTTAATGTCTCTTTCTCTCACTGTGCCTCCTCATTCTTTTCCTCTGTTCCCCAATTCCTTTGCCCTACTTATCTTTCTTCTTCTTCTTTATACTTTTTATTAAATCAGCACTGTATATACTGTGTGTCTGTATGTACACTGTATTTTATATTATATAGTGAAACTCTATGCTGCTCTGTACTTGTGCAGGATCCAATGGACTGGCCCTTCACATCTGCCCAGTTCACTCCTGGCTCCTCCCTTTCTCTGTCCC